TGGCTGCAATGTGTGGTAGCATCCGGCGGGCGTCGTTCTCATCGAGCAGTGGCTAAGAGCAAAATGTGACGTGGCAGTCGTACACGGCGCTACTGCTGCAAGCGAATCAAGGCACAGCAATTGATAATTAGTGGTTTGGCGCATGCAACGGGGCAGCGACGTGCGTCCTCGATCCTGCCGGTGCAAAATGCCACGTTCCGCCTCCAGCGCCAGGTACGGGGCTCACGCTGCAGAGATGCCTGACTGATATGCTCATTGTTGAGCTGGTCGTCTAGCTGAGGTGCTTTTGACGCTTCTGCAGCTCCGCGACGACGACAGCGTGTCGTCAAAGCTTTCGCGCTTCTTGATTTTCTCTGTCGGTATCTGTCCGCAACGGGTTTCGATCGCTGCCATGACGCTCCTTCTGCAGATTCTTGCGTCCAACGCCCCAAGCTCTGCCGCGACTGTGGCTTGCCGTTGGCCACAGACAAATCTAAAAAATGGCTTTACTGGCCGCGGTGGGGCTCTTTTTCAGCCATGTAGACGGTCAGCTTTAGCTTTTAGCTGCGCGATGACGATGCTCAATTGACACGCCGTCGCTTGCGATGCACGTTCTCCAGTGCGGCTTGACGAACCGCATCTCGTGGACGAAAAAGGTGATCGTTGGCAACATGGCATCATCGATACCAAGGACCTAGGGTCCTACAATGACACACCATGTAAACGTAGCATCGTTACGTTGAAGCAAACACCGAGAGCGCCGACCCTGAGTGCGAGGAGTGCGAACGACGCCTCGACACTTGTCCCGCAGCTTTGTGTATACATGTTACATGCATATAGGAGTATTCGAACAAGGGCCACGGATCTTTCGTTTGCCTTTTATGTGGGACATCACGAGAATTCAGTGCCAATGGTGCATTCCCGAAGGCTGTTGATGCACGAGCTGTGATTCCGGTGCTGCAGCGCCTCGACTTACCCAAGACGAATTGGCCAAGCACATGAGAAAAGAAACCGACGCGGTCACCTGCAATGCGTTGTCGACGCAAATATCCTCTGCCGCTTCTTGCGCGCGTCTGCACCGGCGCCCCTCTACCCGAGATGCGACGCCGAGATGATTGCGCTTTCTACCGCAGTCGCGCGCGGCGCTCACAAGGACGCTTTATACGGCCTGGTTTGCCTTCAAGACGTACTCAAGCCACCGGACCCCAAGGCGCCCAAAGGCATAAGCGACGATGAGGATGATGACACGCTAGTGCCGACGGAGTACATTCTTCACGGGGCCAAATCGCAGCACACGTACTTTGAGGCCTAGCTCAACGCTGCATTGCGACTGGAGCTTTCGTGACGCTTCTCGAGTTGTTGAGCAAACGACATGGACGAACCGCTCGTCATAGCAACAGTGCCCAGTCGCGCTTGGCAGCGACGCTTGAGACACCAGTTCTGAGGACGAACGCTGGCCGGTCCTTGCTCGCGACGGCCAAAAAGGTTAAGTGCACCGAGGAAGACCTCGAGACGCTTCAGCAGCAGAAGGAAATCGTTGGAGCTGTCGAGAGACGCCAGCGAGTGCGCGGTGAAAGATTATCGGTGACGTTAGACGTAGATTCGTTGAACAAAATCCAGCGATGGTATCCTGGGTCCAGCAATACACCCGTGACTCTTAAAGTCGGTCAGTCGGTAAACGTAGAGTGATATGAAAAAAGATTAAAAATGAGCGGAGCCCGGTAGAAAAATGAGCGAGGCTGGAAACGGCAGAAAAATGAGCGGACGCCATGTGTATAAAGGGTTAAATCGGCTGCGGGTTTGCACGAAGTGCAAATCCGTTGTCCAATTTATCCCGAGCCGGCACTCTTGACCCGCCAAAGGCTCTGCCAGGGAAAGGGGAAGGGTAATTTTGGGCAATTTCGCTCATTTTTCTGCCGTAGAGTGATATTTTTAGCCTTTAGCTATCTTGTGGAACTCCCAACAATGAGAAGCATCAGTTGCTAAGACTTAGATGCCCTTATGAAAGAGCTTGTCACGAATGATGATGGCGGTCGAGAGCTTGGATCGAATCTCATCGCTGCGCGACGTGGTGCCACGGATGCTATGGAGGTATGTCGTCATGTCTTCAATGTACGCGCTGATCCAGTGGAGGAGACCGCCCGTGAAATGCACCACGACATACAAGCTGCCCTGCACAGCGCCATTGGTGTACACTTTGACCTCTTGGAGTTGCTTTGTGTCGGCCAAGATCGCATCGGCCAGCGAGAGCTGCGCGCGGCCAATCTGCTTGCCAAAGAACCACGAGTCACTCGTGAGGAGGTTGACCTCGATCGTCATGTCGAGGAGGTGCACCGCGGGAAAGAAGAATATCGAGTCGGTGGGCCACGAAGGCGATGCTCCTTGCTTACCGCGGCACGTTGACGTCGTGTGCTTGGTCATGCCGACCGCTAGCTTGCACATGACATCTTGCACGCCAAAGCTTTGAACTTCAGCGAGGTTGCTGGCTTTGAGAACGCGAACGTTGACACCGATGGGCGCCATCGTGGAGAGAGATGCGACGCCTGGTGCATCGACGTGGTCTTGGAGACGACGGAGCACCTCCGCCGCGGAAGGGCGCGCCTCCGGATCCACCGACACGCACTCAAGCGCGAGCGCTTGGAACCAGCTGGGGCTCGAGTGGAATTTGTGCTTGAAGATGTCGTCGCCGTCCTTGCCGGAGCTAAGGAGCGCTGTGAGCATCGAGTCGTTGATTTGTCGTCCGTTGCGGTCCTTCTTGTGGGCGTACGGAAGGTCGTGCGTGTCGAGCTCGATGAGGAGGAGACCAAGCGAGTAAATATCGGCCTTCTCCGAGTAGTTGGCCCGGCCTTCAAAGGTAACGTCGGACCGAAGCGTCTCGGGGGCCGACGACATGACCGGGCCGACGCCCACCGTCATCAAGCCCCCCGAGAGCTCGCGGCTGCTCGTGCTCATGAGAAGCTTGGCTGCGTAGTCGCCGTCCACGAGCACATGCAGAGCGCTGACGTCGCGGTGCATGAAGCCAAGAGCGTGCATCTTGGAGACAGCCTTTGTGACGCTGATGGCCATGCGGAGCCGCGTCTGCAAAGGCAAGCGTTGACTTTTGGTCTTCTGCAGCAGGTCGCGGAGGTTGCCGTACGCCATGTAGGGAAAGTACAGGGCCGGTGCTTGCGTGTTGACACCCGACACGCCGGCCAGCGTCATGATGGTGCCGTCGGCGCCGCCAAGCCTACGTGATTCCTTGATGAGTGGTGCCTCACACAGTGCAGATAGACAACGTACGAGGCGGTGAGCTCCATGTGGCCTTGAAACTGATGGATGGCGTCATGGTCGGGAGTGTTGCTGAAAAACTTCTTGCGCACGAGTGGGTGACTGTCGACGACGCCGCAGTCGATGCGGAAGGTCTGGCCGTTGACGAGCATCTTGGCATGCTTAAAGTCCGACGCGTCAATGACTGGAATCTTGGGAAGGGCCGCCGTTGGCTCGACAAATCGGCGAGGTTCAGGCATCTCAGGCTCGTCCTCGACTTGTGGCTGCTGGTCACACAGCTGGCTCTGCAGCATCTTCATCTCGGTCATGAGGGTCGCCACTTTGGCGACCTCAACCGCCAACGCCTCGCTTGCTTTGGGGTGCAGCGCCTTGGCGGCTTTGGTCACGGCACCGAGTTGGATGATGTGTTGAATGTACGCCTCGATCGTCTCAACGTCGCTCATGCCGTCGGTCGAGGGCAGGGCTGGGGCGGGTGTTACCATCAGCGCCGACGACTCAGCGAAGTCGACGGATGGGACCACGCCGACCTGGCGGCAGAGATCGCGAACCGCATCAAGTAGACTCGAGGCGACGGCGCGCTTCTCGTTCAACGCGTCAGTGACGACGGTCGTCTTTTCGATCGTGCGGCCGAAAAAGTCGATGCGCTTGCGGAGCGTCTGAAGCTTCTGCGCCGAATCCGGCAGCTTGTCACCGCAGTCGTCACAAGTGACGTTGGCGAATGGGTTGCCGTGGTCGCAAGCTGGGCAGTGGAGCAAGGGGGCACTCATGGTCAAGTTGAAAAGTGGTGCCGTGATTAGATTCACAGTGCGCTCACAAATAGTATCTATACGCGAGGGACAGCTGCAACGTCAAGTATCCATTGTGGCGACACCATTGGATGGTGTGTATGCTGGAACATGGCGACAGTGCAGCTGGCGGGCTACCGACGACTCCGTTGCCTTTCATCAACCTGGTCGATATCATTTCACCTTAACAATCCTGTGCGATATTAAGTCCACCCAACAAAGTCTATTTGTAAGGCGATTGTGTCACTATGCAAGCTGTGCACCAGAGCTGGTACCAGTCACCTTCAAAGTACAGTTTGTCCGCCGCCATGGCCCAAGTTGACGGTTGGAAATTCTAGGTATATTGTTCGTCTCCTCGCGCGCGAAGTCCATGTGGGCATGAAGATGCTGCTGACGCGAAATAGATATAGCCAGCAAGCCTATATCTTGGTCCCGATGAGCCATTGTCTGTGCAGACTGGGATCAACAATCGTGTGCGAAAGGCTACTGCACATGATTGTTGCAATCTGTTGTCAGGGCACGGTGATGATGGGCTATACTTCTGAACTGATCTGATGATGTTGGATGCTTTTTTTGCTGTGTTGCATAAACTCTATGGCCGCCCTCATTTTTCATTGTTCCGATGAGCGTGGACTACGAAACGGTGCGTTTCGGTCCATCGATCTCGAACGCTCGTAATGTGCTTTCCACAGTTGAAGCATGTCGTTGCGCTTGCTGCCGAATCGGGCGACATTGAGGACGTTAAGGAGCTCTTGCCCAAGTGCCGCCTCTATGACGTTCGTTTGCACTCGATTCACGGGGCAATGCTCATCATTATTAAAATAGGTCAAACGTGCCCTTGGTAAAGCGGCGTACAAAGACAAGCTCGACGCTGTCATCGTTCTTCTCGAGGCGGGAGCAGACCCTGATTACAAGGATGCCGTACGCTTGTTGTGGCACTGACTATCGTTCTATCATTGTGCATAGAGTGGCGAAACAGCCCTATGGGAGGCTGCGACCCTTTGCAGCCAAGCCTCATACAACACGATCGAGCGCCTTTTGAAAGCGAGCACGGCGTGCATCGACAGTACCTCGACTGGCCTCGGAGAGGTAACGCAACGACCAACGATGTGATTCCAATTTTTGTATAAAGGGGGGCAAAACGGCGCTGTACAAGGCGGCTGAGTACGGTCTCATTGAGGTGGTGAAAGCCCTTCTCCATCACGGCGCGAACATCAACATTGCTTGCGACGGAGGCTTTTTCACCGTTCGCTTGGAATCCTCTCCACGTGGCGTAACGCTCCTGGCTGTAGAGCTCGAAGACGCCTCGCATGATCGCCAGCAAGAACGGCCACACCACGTTTGTGGCACTCATCGACCAATACCAACAGGCGCGGGAGCTTGTGACGGCCGTCTCCAACGGCGACAAGTCTCAAGTGGGGCGTCTCTTGGCCAACGGTGTCGACCCCAACACCTTGGACAAGGTTCGCACACTACTTTTCGAGGATCAACTAAAGCGCATGGATAGGATCTCGATTCGGTGCTGTTACTCGCGGCTTCGGCGGGCCACGTGGGCGTCGCGAATAAACTCATCAAAGCAGGCGCCACGGTCGATACCGTCTTTGCGGTGGGCTGCAAGGACTTGTAACGTGGTTTATGTAGTGCCGATTGTAGCGCGGATTCGCGGCGCTGCACGCTGCTGCGGATCAAGGCCATATTGCCGTCATCACTGCGCTGCTCAATGCCGGTGCCGACGTCAATGTCCGGTGTCACTGGGTACAGTCACTTACAAGTCGTTCGCTTATGCAATTTCAGGGGCGCACGCCGCTGATTTTTGCCGCTGCATTCGGAAAAAGCGGTGCGACCCAGGTGCTCCTTGCCGCGGGCGCCAATGCGAACGTCGTCAGCCACGTAAGTGCTCGCTCAAACTTTGTCTCGATCCAGCGTTGCAATAGAATGGCGACAATGCGCGAACGTATGCGATCAAGAATGGACAAAAGGCGACTGCTGCTCTCATTACAAGCCACAACACCGAGAAACTGCAAGCTGCTGTCCAGTCTGGCGACGTTAACCTTGTCACGGCGCTTTTGCAAGGAGGCGCGAAAACCAACGTCAAGGTTGCGCTGTTTCGATGATGAACATGATGGATTCCCTCGGTAGAAAGGGTTCTCGCCGTTGATGCGCGCGGCGCAGGATGGGCTTGTCAAAATCATGCGGCTTCTTCTGGCGCATGACGCCAACGTCAACGCTGTCGACGAGGTACTTTGCCGTTATGAGCACGCCGCGTTTGGCTGACACTCCACCTAGAGAGGCTTTTCGCCCCTCCTCTTTGCTGCGTCTTGCGGTCACGTCGACGTTGTGGACCAGCTTTTGACGAAGAGTGCCAATATCGACCACCAAGCGAGAACGGTATTTGCTTGGATGAACATGAATGCTGATGGTGTATTTTTCGAAGGGTATGACGGCGATGCATTACGCGGCCGAGTCCGGTCGCGTGGGCGTGGTCAAGAGACTCTTGGCCAGCGGAGCCGACGCGTCGATTCCCGACAAAGTATCGTGCATTCACTGTATCGGTGCTGAGGCTTACAGAGAATGTATGTAGGATGGACGCACTCCGCTCATGGTGGCCCTTCAAAATGGCCAGACGAAAGTCGTAGCACTTCTCGATGCATCGAGCACAAACCCCGTAATGGCAGCTGTCACGAAGGGCGACCTTGAGCAAGTGAACCAGCTCTTGTCTACTGGCGCCGACACGTCTGCCGTGAATGCAGTATGTCATCCCTTGAGCACATCGACTTAATTGCGTCGATTAGCACGGCGCGACGGCGCTGCACGTCGCGGTTCACAATGGATACGACGAGATTGTGTCCGCGCTTTTGGCGGTCGAAGCCGACGTGGATGCCGAGGACGAGGTATCTCGAGTCGCTATATGCAGCGTCCTCATTTACGTGCATAGGATGGCTGGACGCCCGAGATGCTGGCCAAAACACCCGCGCTTCGGAAGCTCTTCAGCGACGCCAAGTACCCGGAAGCGATGAAGGTTCGTTTTCGCGCAATCGTCCTGGTCAGAGACTCATTTATGCTTAGATCGCCGATATGATGCAAGCCATCAAGGACGACAACGTGCCAGTTGTGCTCAATCTGCTCGCGAAAGGCGTCGACCCCAACAGCGCCAACGAGGTACAAGAATGATCACGAAACATGCCGTAAACTGTTGCGTAGTCGGGCGAAACTCTCTCGCATATGGCCATCACCCACAAAAAGAGCTCCGTGCTCGACGTGCTCTTGGAGGCAGACGGCATCGTGCACTCAAAGCCCAACCAGGTTGGGTCAACAGCGTTTATCCAAGTTGCAACTCGTATGGCTAGGCCGGAGTGACCCCGTTGGTCCTGGCGATCCGTCTCGGCCACTATCGCCTCGTGAATCAGATTTACTCCAAAGTCAAGTTCGTCACGCAGCAGGTCAGCTCTCGTTCGTCTTGAATGTACAATGTAGTATTCACTTGCCATACCTTAGGTGACCAACAACGATGTCGTGTACGACGAAAACGACGCCCTGGGGGCTGGCGCCTTTGGCGCTGTCTACAAAGGCTCGTTCCAAGGACATGCCGTGGCTATCAAGTGCGGCAACAACAAAAACGCGCTCAAGGCCGAGATCGACGCGATGCTCCAGTGCGCCATTTGCACACTTGGTGTCGATATCCTGCCTTACTTGTATACCTGATTAGATGCAAGTCGCCGTACATTGTCGATCTGATCGCTATCGCGGACCGGTTCTCGGAGCATCCCAAGCTCGTGCTCGAGCTCATGGACGGCGGCAGCTTGGACAAGCACCTCGAGGCCAAGCGCTTAGGGAAGCCGACCGTCGTCAACTACTCGAACGTGGAGATCGCGTGGGTGGTTGCAAAGGCGCTCGCGGACTTGCACCATAACGGCCAAGTCCATCGCGACCTGAAGAGCGGCAACGTTCTGCTCTCGACGACCAGCTTCGTCAAGGTCTGCGATCTCGGCATTGCCCGCGACCTCGATATGAACATGACGATCAACATGGGCACGCCGTTTTGGACGGCGCCCGAGGTCTTCAAGGACGATGACTCGACGACGCACGGGTACGGCTTTGCCGCCGACATCTACTCGTTTGGCGTCATCCTCACGGAGCTCGACACGCTCCTGCCGCCGTATGCGTCGCTTTCCAAGTGTAGCACGTTCGACATCATGAGCCGTGTCTACAAGGGCGAGCTCCGCCCAACTTTGAGCGACACATGCCAGCCATGGTACAGCAACCTGGCCAACAAGTGCTTGGCCTTTGACCCAAAAGACCGACCCAGCGCCAATGACATCGTGACGTTGCTTCAGGCGCATCTCGGGGAGAAGAACAACGCGCTATCCACGGATGCGCCACGGCCTTTGCTGCACTCGTCGTCGTCGTCGTCGTTCAGTACGAGCAAGGTACTTCCAAAGGTTTTCCCTCTCAGCGATATTAAATACTCTCTGTCGCTAGACGTATTCGTCGTGGTCCAAGACGCAGCTTGTCAACACCAACATCGTGTGCGCCGATTGCAACACGCCGAATCCTTGGGATGCGACCCTCTGCCGCGACGAAGACTCCAAGGAGCCACTGCCGAGCGCAGCCAAGAAGCTGAAGGTGCTGCTCAAGCGCATCGCGGTCGCCAACACCAAAGGTGCCAACGTTAAGCGAACAGTTCACTGTCGAGTCTGTTGCGATCCCGTCGACATCGAGCTCGAAGCGTGCCCAGATTGCCCGGACGAGCCGCTGCCGGACGACGAGAAGAAGCTCCAGCTGCTCTTGCGTGAAATCAAACGAGCGACGGCACCATAAGCTCTTGTTTTCGCAGTTTCTACATTGTCTACAGAGTTAATTCTCATTTTCCACGTTTGCAAACGGATTCATGATGGTCCTTCCATATCATATCCAAGCGCGAGCAAAAATCTTGTGCGCGCATTCATCGTGGACCAGCTCTGGAAACCTTCTCGAGGCGGTCAAGCAGGCGCCCGACGTCGTGGTCGGCCAAGTACACTAAAAAAGGACACGGACGCGGTCGCCTGCAATGCATTATCGACGCAGGTATCCTCTGCCGCAACTTGTGCGCTTGCACTTGCGCCACTTTGTCCAAAATGAGAAGCCGAGAAGATTGCGCTTTCTAACACAACTTCGTCGCGCGTGGCGCTCTCAAGGACGCCTTTCCAAACACGGGTCACGCTCCTTCAAGATTGTCAAGTACACGACGGCAGTTCTCGAGATGCCTTTGCAGCAGAAGGAAATCATTGGCGTTGGAGTGCAGTTATGCAGTAGACATAGTTTAGTGGAACGAGTATACAATATATCTTAGAGAGATGGACAAGTTAGCTCGAGTGAGATATCAAGTCAACATTGTGCTTGGGTCTTGCCGAGGTCATCCAGTGCTCGTCCAAGAAGCAGCTCGAAGATTTCGTCGAGAGGTTTGACTTGACGCTTGAAGACGCTCTTTGCGACGCGCGGCCGGTGATGCGTTTGATGTCTTCCACCAGAGCATGGGCTACCACTCGATCGACGAGCTCATTCTCCGCCTCCTCAAGCGTATCACGTGGGTAGACGACCTCGCCCACGAGTGCGAGTGCTCGCCGTCAAATCGCGCGAGGTGCTTCTGTACCTCGCACCACGCCTGCTCACGACGCCAACGGCCTTGACCAACGTCCAAGCGATCGTGTTGTCGTGAAGCCCGAACACGGGTCCACGGTCGGATGTAGCTCAGTCGTCTTCAGTCGTAAAAAGGGATGTGATTGACGTCAATTGTCTACGTCTACAGCCTGCCAAAAGGCGGCACTATTACCAGACAGCTGTCTGGCCTTGGATTGGCTCGAATGCCTTGAGGGGTCGGTGTGTCACGCCGATGCACCGCCGGGACGCCACGTTGCGCGGGTCTTTGGTCGGCACGCGTCCATCCAGCAGGGGAATCCTTCAATCTTGAAGGTCGTGAGAGGGCCCTCGAACCTTCCTTGGCCACTTGGCGAGGTCTTGGCCCAAAAGGCGATTGGCGCCTCACGACAATGCCCACGGCGGCCATACAACATGTCCGGCGCAAAAACGTGGGGCGCCATCGAAGCGTGTCGGTCTTGACTGTCACCACCGCCAACCGAGGTCCTGGGCGCCGCGCTACAGCCGTTGCGCGTGGCCATTCCGAGACCAAGAGTCGTCCTTGGAAGCGGCCTGCCGTCGTCCTCGTCGTGGTCTCTTCCAGAACACGCGTGCCCACTCCGTCGTCCTTGAGCTTGCTCTTCCTGACAGTTGCCTCCGCGGCGTCTTGCCCAAGCTTGATCTCCTTGCTGGTAATCACGGCCTCGATTCGGAACGACTGATGCGTCTTGTTTTCGTCCCCGGCCCGCTGCACCGCGGTCGTCGTTTCAAATCTCGGCATGGGCTGCATGGTACGATTCCAAGTAGTGGAAGAAGGGTTTTGCGCAAAAGGTCGAGCAAGCGAAAGACCCGAGAAGATCCGTGCTATAGATAGAGGATAGAA